GGCAGCTGGCACCTCGAGGCCTGCCGGCCGCAGGCTGGCTGAACTCCTGCCGGGACTGGTAAATGAGCGGAAATATAAACTGTTGGGGGGGGAAAAACCCCGTCCTTTTCCCCGCAGGCGGTGAGGAGTCGTCCCTCTTCAGTTCCAGCCGGGTGAAATTATTTTTTAAAAGGCCAAGATGAGGGCTGTGCCCAAACTTCAGGAGTTGCGTGCAGTTTGCCATTGAAATAACAACGTAGCCCCTCCGAGTAGTTCTCTGCTACGCAGGTGTCGCGAAAATGTCACGCTGCGCATGCTGTATATTCACATTAATATTTCATTAATCGGGGAAAAAATGTATTGTTAGTGAGATTTCAGTCAGGCTGGATCGGCGCCTACAGTAAATATTCCCACTGGGGAATAGCTGTTTCTTAGGGAGTGGGCTGGTTCGCCCGCAGGCAGTGCAGCGCTGACGCGAGGCTGCTCGGTGGATGTTTGTATCCAAGACCGTCTGCTACGGTGTAAGGACGGTGAAATAAAGAGTACTGAAAAAGCTATGGAAATAGTCAATGAGAAAGGCACGTTTCTTCCTAAAAATCTGTTTTTGTAATAATCTGAGAGTGCGGTTTCCTAAGTAAATAGTCGGATCTCTTTCCAAACTACTCTCCCTTAGACGTCCTAGATTTTCCTTTAAGAGTAGGCACATGTTACGGTAAGATCAAAATAACAAAACACTGTGGAACACTTTGAAAGACACACAAAACATGGTAGTAGACCAACGATGCTAATACAAGGAAAGAGGATCGAGGAGAAAGACCTTTAGAATTCCCAATATCCCAAAACACACCAAAATTTGGTCCAAAGAACAGGTACTGCCATACATGAAGTGCATAAAAAGCAGGTGATCAGACGTACCTACGTGTATTCAACACTCTAACCAAATAGAGTACAAAGTTTGATCAAAAACAGGACAGGGCGTTCTCTAATTATTCTTACGAAGTGAGCAATGGTTGAGTCAAGAAGAATTCAATACTCGAGTCATTAATTGTCTCACAGGATATTTAGGTTCAATAGTCTTAGGAATGGCAAATCACGTATAAATAAAATATCTCCTAAGGTTGCTTCGTTGTTTTTTTTTTTTGTTTTGTTGGTTTTTAAGAAGGAAAACTAGTCAAAAGCATCTCCCACCGGAAACCTGGCTGTTAACATCCTGACACTTCCCGTGGAGTTAGGCAGACACAGCAGAACTGAATGCTGCCGGCCTCGTGTGCCCATCCACAAACGCAACCCTCCATCCCCAAAAGAAAAGAAGAGAGGAGAGAGAGGGGAAACAGAAGGGCAGACAAGGTGCTTCAAGCAGTTATTTGACACAAATAGCTGTTTTGCTGCAGCTAAAACTTTGGCCGGGCAGGAAGACAACAGAAAAGAAGTGTAATTTATGGAAAGCAAAATTACACTGGAAAACAGGTAGACTGAGATAGACTTAAAGAGCAATTAACCGAAGGCATGAAGACAAGCAAGGTATTTTTTTCATCAGCCGGCGGCAGAAAGCGTGCAGGAATCGTCAGGTTATCTGCATATAAGAAAACGGCGCAACGGAGGACAAGGCATTGAAGAGCTTGCTTTCTCAGCGCTGAGACACAACACATTTCACTGTTCCCAGATGTTGGTTGTGTAAGGGAAGGGTTAATAAAGATTAATATTAAAGTCAGTGACTCATTATCCAACCTGAATAGAAGAGAATTGGGAGTGGCTCCCTGGAAGGAAGGAACTGGATAGTCATTAGGAAGAACTCCTGATGAATAACCATGTCAGGGCAAGAGCATAGGGATGAATGTTATCGTTTTAGTCTCGATTCCTCTGTTAACGAAACTCGGTCCCACCGTGTGATGCAGATGGACGTAGGCTGTGGAATAGGCTATCCACAGTAACCTTGATAGGTACGTTTGCCTGGGAATAATTGATACATATATTATCCACGGGAAACACTTGTTTTACATGATTTCCCTTAACATTTCACCTCCTTTCTCACCCTGGTGTGTCTCACCGTGGAGCTGCTGCCCCAGAACTTCCCAGTTGTTGCTGCTGCGGGAGAAGAACTCCCAGCCCTCCTCCTTACTGCCAGGTCTGCGAGCGGCCACGGCCTCGTCCTGTGGGCAAGACACTTTTCTGCATTGTTACTTCAGCGCTCAAAGGGAAATATATCTCATATCATTATTTCAGTACTAAATTTAAATGCAGACATTTGCAAATAAACATCCAATAAACGTTAACATCCTGCTGGTAGCTACGACTATTAGCTGCCCTGTTTCCCTTTCCTGTCATCTAGAGCATTTGACTGTAGTAGGGGTAAATAGCATGCAGCAATAGACCGGGCCCTTGTTTCTCTCATGGTATATTGCTTGCATACCTACTTATTAAAAATTTTGCTTACGGAAGCTTGCAGAATCTTCATGCGATTTATACAAAACCAGCAAAATTGTACCAGGACGCTTCTGCAGGTTGGCTTACTTCATCCTCAGTATGTATGTTATCTCAAGTGATTCCCTTTGGTTTGGTTTTTTGGGTTTTTTTTAAGTTATAGGCGTGCCTGCCACTTAGTCTAAAATAGTTGCGAAAATAGTAGAAATTGAAGAAAAATTACTTTGGTTTAAAAAATCTTGTTGGGACAAAATTTGTCACTCGCTATAGTCTTGCTCTAATTTTGTGTCATAGTACTTGCTACCAGGTGAGACATCCCTTTCTTGTAGCTTAGGTTGGTGATATTAAACCATATAAAAATCACACAAAATTTATACAACTAAAGAATCTCCACGTTCGGGTACCTCTCTCTAGCCTTCCAAAATACCTACAAACACCACCTCGCTTTAGCATACAATAACTTTTTTCAAATATCGGTGATACCTATGTGGAACATTTTCCTCTTAGGACAGAAAAATGTGCATATGGGAGACACCTGACTGAGTCATTTAAATGCTTATCAGTCTCTCTATCAGCATCAGCTCTTCGAGGAGTTTCAGTCTATTTCTGGAACTGCTTCCTTTTTCAGCTTTCTGCAAGACATAAGATTGCAGACACCCATAGGTCAGCTGAAATAGATTTATTGCTAACAGTTAATTTTTTTCTTAGTCTGCAAGAAGGAGTATTACCCTTCCAGCAACAATTGGGTAATACCAGTGCTCACGGTTTCTTTTGTAAAATTTTCTCTTTGCAAAGAAGACTTTGCTGAAATTTTGGCTGATCTGCTCTCACCCATCAAACATTCCTCCGCTCTAACACTTCAACTTAAATGAAAATTCAGCTTCCACCATAACTTCAAATTGTGAGAAACTAGTTGCACTGATATCTGGTGAATACGACTTGCGTCTTTTCGCTGGTATCAAGCCTCTTCTGTTGGCTGCGTCCGCATCCGCTCTGTTTTGCTACAGCGTGGAACTTCTGCAGGAGCCTGGTGCTAGGGAGTAGAATGTTCTTCTGCACTTTCTCACTGGCGGCTGTGAGCTTCGGTGACTGGTCGCTTTGCAGCATCTTAACTTGCTTTTCAGCGCTGTTCTTGCATCGGCCACGTAGAATTTGTGCTTTTCTCAAGCTTGTGTAAGAGGTGCACGAGAAAACTGCAGTCCACTGATGATTTTTTTTCGTTCTCCCTTACCAGCTGGCCTAAAAGACCTTTAACGTTTTGTGAGAGTTGACAGTAAATCCTACTTCTTCTTTGCCCATCCGAGATCGGGGTGCTATTCTGGCTCTCAGGAAGTCTGCTCTCCTCGCGCGTGCCTCATGCAAATATGTGCTAGGGGTGACCGTACAGGAAGGAGTCTTTTCTTTTTTTTCCCCTCCTACTAGCATTTGCTTTTTTATGTACCTTAACGGAATGTAGATTTATCCAAAGCGCGTTCTTCCTCATTACATTTTTCACTCTTAGTCAAAAGCCATTTTGTGGTAAGCTGTTTTATTTCACATGTCCGCCTTTACTCTCAAGACAAACTGCTGTTGATTCTTGGTTAATTCTTCAGAGATTTTTCTCACATTTCTGGCCCATCATTAATTGCAATAAGTTATTTAAGAACTGTCAGTCTATCCCAAAATTGCTAAATCCTCCAGAGTGCTTGCATATTGGGAGTGTTTTCTGCATGCTGTCCTTGATAGCTTCCCATAAAGAGGAGGCTAATCCAAATGGCTGACACCGGGGCAGAAGCCCAGCAAAGACACCAGTGGTGGAACAAAGACTCTTTTTTTCAGTGTCTTCGTATTATTTGGGAATTTCACTTGGCAGCTTAATTTTGCTGTGAGCTCCTTGTAATACTTTCTCCCGTTACGGTTGTTGGCCTGTGTTTTGGTGTGTTGTCCGTTATCCAGCAGACAGACTGTTATTTTAGTATCGTTAACAATAGCCTATGCACAACGCTAGCAAGCGGCTCTCCTGGAGCGCCTGTTCTGAGAGTTGTGGCCATGACAAACCCCGCATCACGGTTTTGAGTACCTGGTCTCTCGTTCCTCCTGAGACAGTACGTATTTTGTGTGTTTGAAAAAAGCGGATTTAGGAAGTGTATTGTATTTGAATGAACTCAGCAACAGTTTACGTTTCTCGTATAGAATGGTGAACGCAGAGAGAGGGAGTGAAGGCGTAACACCACAAAAACGGCATCACAAGGAGCTGCGTTACCTTCCTGGGTGGGTATTACAAGACTGCTTGTTAGCAACCACTTTTGAGTTGCACTTTTTTTCTATTTTCTTGGGTCAGCTGACCCGTTAATATCCTCTTGGAGTCTATTTTTCTCCTCTTCCCCTCTTTTCCAGAGGCATCTGCTGCTTTCCAAATAATTTCTTTAGGCCATTCAAATACGAGTAAAACACGCCAGGCCAACTCTGAAATCCTTTGTAGATGGGACATATCTGAAAGCACGCCACTTGCTACGTGAATGGCAGAGGAAGAGAAAAGAACTTCTCCAAAAGCCTGCTGTGAAGCCCACGTTAAGATGAAGCAGTATGTAGTGCAAGGACCAATCCAAAGAAAAGATTATTAAAAAGCCATCGTACTTCAGTAGAGCAACTGCTACACCCAAGTGCAAAACTTGTGATTGTGCTTAGAGGCCAACCTGTTAGGAGCTACGCCCTGTGCAAACATTGGGTAAATGACAATACTGCTCCGGCAAACTTTTAGGGCCAGAAAATGACTGGCAGCGAGTCCTCCGAGTGTATGGGAAAAGCGGCCTCGCAGAGGAGGGGGCAAGTGACGCCGTCTGAAAGAATTCCTCCTTTCAGAGAACAAGCGGTGCTTTCACAGCAGTGGATACTTAGCCGTGGCACACAGTATACAGATTACATCAGGTCCATTCGCTGCCTTTAATTATTTTTGAAAAACAAAAGCATGAAAATTTTCAGTTCTAAATTTGAATTTTCAAGAGTGAAAGCATAAATAATAAAGGCATTATGAAGCAGGGAACAGGAGCTGGTGGAGAGCAATAGCACTGGTTCTTAGAAAACCTGGAACAGTAGCATGCTGTTCCCTTGGTATTAATGAATAGTTGTGTGAGACGTACAAAAAGCCAGTATTTAAAGTATATTCTACAGCGCTTTATGCAGGAGAATCAATAGTATTACAAACAGATACTAATACATTACTATAGCTAGATACTACAACAAATACGATACATTTGCAAGTGGTATCATCGGAATAGTACATAGCAGCTAAAAATATATACTGTGGCCATTTCAGAAGAGCAGCTATTTACTCCTCTAACACTTTAAAAACATGTCATTTTTGTTGGCCTTTACGCAATTAACACAAGTATCTAAAGCATGTAAGTGACAGATTTAGCTACCTAAGTGTGGGATATGGATGCCAGGTTTGGGAACACCATCCAAGCCAGTCTGCTGCAGTAACTAAGTTCTTCATCTTACCCAAACACATGCCGGCATGGTATACCAGCGCGTCATCCGTAGATGTAGATAGCTCAGTTATTTGTCTTACCACGTACTGCCCTTATTTCATGCCTCCGACTCTTGCTGCACAAAGCTGTGCTCTAAAAGTCAAGTAAAAAAAAAAAAAGAAAAAGAAAAATTAAATTGATTTGAATTGCAAAGTATAAAGTTGTGGGGCCGTGCCTGCTTGACTCTGCACACAGGCTGAAACGAGCTCTACAAAATCCAGGCTTTTCAACACAGTGGGCTGGACACAAGGAGTACTTTGTGCTGCTGCCTTTCCAGTCGCATAATGGCTCTCCATGTCTGTCCTGTGGGCACAGCCGCCACTCCTGGGACGGGGTGCTCCTTGAGCTGGTGCAGTTAGAGAGGAGGAAAAGCAGACACAGTCCTCCTGTTGTCCAGATCTGGCCCACGAGCCACCAATTAGACCGTTCTCAACTACAGCGCTCAGTTCAAAGGGCTGCTAATTGTGTTTTAATGACAATCTAAATGATACTGCTGATCATTTCAGAAACATCCTGATCGCTAATTACTAGGTAGCCTATGTAGTGTGGTAAGCAGGCAAAGCACTGTAGAAACATGAAGTAAGATTATTAATGTTCTCAATGGCCTTCGACACCCTCCCACGTATCAAAAGCATCATCTCTTGTTCGTAGGCCCAAACCTCTGCCCTGGCTGCTCACATCTGTGATCCAGCTGCAGCAGATGTTTTTACAGCATCCTGGTAATAAGAAAAGAAGAGCAGCGATTCAAAATTACTTACATTCATTAACCAAAATTCTACAAATATTAATAAAATATGCTGGTAATAAATATTAACTAAAATTCTTACGACATCGCTGCTTCAGAACATTTTACCTTAAATACTAGCTCGATCGAACTGAATCTCTGAACAAAGCATGGCCAGGATGTTTAAATGCGCTCGCCAGAAACGCGAATACGAGCAAGCCGCGTGCCTGTTCGTAGCGGGCGTTACTTTCCTCATCGTTGCAGCCGCGCGGGAGGAGCGGTGGCGCGGCGGGGGCCGGTCTGCGGAGCGCGCAATTCCGGAGCCGTGCTTGTGCTGCAGGTCACGAGGATTTTGGTTTCCAAGGCTGGCAAGACGGCACCCGCCAGAAGCATTAAATTCCTTTCCGAATGTTTACTTGTATTTTGTACAAGATACCCATAGTCTGTTGAGGAATCCATTCTCCAGAAAAAATATTTGGAGTGCAAGTCACAGTTTTCCCCTTCAGAAATTCAGCCAAAACACACCGAATCTGCTAACCACTGACAGCATAGTGGTGGTCAAGATGTTTATACATAAAACACTATATCAGTGAGAGTAAAGTACACATGTTGCCCGTGTAATAGATATCTAGTAATGAAATGGAAAAGCTGGCTAAGCCCTTCTCTAAAATACATGCTTTTATGAGAATATAGGTTAACTGTAGTACAGTGGATTTTAAATGCCAAATCTAAGCAATTAGAATTTTGAAGAGACTGGTGCAGGAAAAAAAGGCGGCTTGTTTTCTCATTGGAAAATAAAATGCATGTAAGTAAATACTAACGCTGATTTTTTTTTTTTTTTTGGTGAAGATTTATGTGAGATTAATCCCTTTGCAGTCTTAGAGTGTATCAGGTTTCACTAATCTACCCTCAATTTTATGTGAGATTGCAGGCATAGGACGAGAGCGAGGAGCTAGCTCTGCTCTGCGACCAGGCACGCTGCAAAGAGAGTGAGCTCATCTATCTACGCTTTACACCTGAAGCCAGCGATTTTGCGCCTGTAGTTGCACGAGCACCTGTTTGTGTGAACAAGCCCCTGAAACTGTTTTAAAGGAGAGACGTTCGTGTATGCAGATAAGGTGGCTGGTTACAGAACAACGAGATTTGCACATGGGAAGAATTTTGCATGCAATTTTCAAGATGCCTTTTTTCCAGCCATTTGACCCGGGAGTTTTGCTTTCCACGTAAATGATCTGTCTCGCTCGCTCGGGTAGTGCTTTAAGCATGTTATTTGTGTTCCTCTCCTTTTTCTTAAGGCTGTGCAGCGATGGTGTCTTTGGAAATGGAAGTCTTGAAAGATCCTTGCAATTTGTTACTAAAAGTGCTGGTTTTTTCCTTTTGCAACATTGATGGTGTTTGAAACCGAGTAGGTCTGAAGGCAAATAATTCCTCCCCTTTCTGTTTCAGGAAACGCTTGCCTTAACGGCCAGTATGCTCTTACAAACCTCACAGCTTGTACAGAATAGCAGAGCTGAGCTGATGCCAGATAAGTGCTGGTCTGGTAAGAGGTAACGTTTGAACTTATGTATCCCCAGATTTTTTAATTAAAGGTTATTCATTTGGTTTTCATTCTTTTCAGAAAGGTCTGGGATATTGGTGTCTTAAGGTTTTTTGCCTGATTTACACAGATTACTTTCTCATCTTCATTTATTCTTTTAAAGATACATCACTTGAAATTTACCCTGTGATTTTCTCGCCTTTAATGTAAGTCGGGAAAGCATTTAAAATTTAGAGAAGGAAATATTTTTGAATAATGGCAACTCTTTTGCAAGAGATGAAAAGAGTTAAAAAACCAGCAAGCTTGTTACTTGATGACAGAAAACCTTACTTTTGAAAGTCGTACAAACAGGCAGCCTGGCCTGCGTTCAATGTCTTGACTGCCATAAAACTAGAAACATTAATTAGCATAAATTCATAGTCTAGTTCTGAAAGAAAAAAAAAAAAAGGTAAATATTACATAGTTCTCAGTAATGAGAGCATTTTTATTTTCCAGAAGACGTCAGTTTAATTCTCCAGATACTCTCAGTATATAGAGCAACTTTTGATTTCCCCCTGCATAATACAGCACGGGAGAGTGTCTCTTTAAATTCATTTATAAAATAATTCAGGGCTGTGGGTGTCTTTGATCTGTTCCTCTCTGCTAAAGTACAGAAGAGAAGAACATGTCGCTTAGCAACCCCGCGCCGGAATCGGGGGGGAGGCGGGGAGGGATGGATGGTCCAGAGTCACAAAAGGGAAAGATTAATCCCCGTCAGAAAACTAAACTTCTGACAATGCTTCTCTAAAACAAAGCAAGCAAATAAACAAATACGGGTGTTTGCAGAATTAGGTAATCTCACTTTTTTCTTTTTTTTTTTTTCTACCCCACTTCTGCTCTATTAATAGTAATCTTATGACCAAATCAGAAAATCAGGCACGGGATAGGCAACGCAGGCTTAAATAGCTTCGGGACTGGGCTGAAGTCAAAGGGAATCTGAAGTTTTATTTTTAAACCGGTTAAGCATATTTTAAATTGAATTAGTCTTGTCAGGACCAATCATAATTAATTTCATACCGCAGTTTTCGTTTGAACACTTCAAATAGATTTCGTGTGGCGTCTCATCCTGTTTTACAGTTGGACAGCTTAAGTGCCACCAGACTGATTTACTTAGCGTCACTTACCTTGTCGTAAATAAAAATCTAGATTTCTCTAAACGGTTACCAGGCTGTGATTAGCTGGTAACTAGGTAACACCTTAGTAACTTTGAAAAAAATACCAATTAGGAAAGAAGCTTTGCACTGAAGTAGATGAGCAGCACTCAGACAACCTCCACCATTTCTGCAGCTGCAGGATGATAATGTCCCGCAGAGCACTGGCAGGGGGGGGTACCATCTCAAACCGCTCCTGCTCTTTCCGTTTCTGACCGGTGCTGTCCTAGAGCAGCCCGAACTTACCTTTTTCTTTTGCATGAGAACTCAAACATCAAACCCCACAGCCCTGCACGGCTGAGTTATGGAAGAGAAAACTGCAGCAAAAAACTGTGCGAGAGGAAGAATGGCAGAACTGGTTTGTAGCCCACTTCAACAGGTTTCACACAGATGAAAAATATCTCATAAAAAAAGGTAAATTGTTATGCCTGGTCTTATAGTTATGATCATAAAGGTTATTTAAAATCTTCTTAATTTTTAAGCCACTTCCATGTCCTAATCACCGATAACTTATTACTGAACTTATCACTGTACAGTTAAGAGAATCCCTAAATGCTAATGGTTCACATTTCTCCCAGAGCTCGGTACAGGCAATTCCGTGCTCAAATTCTGTAGTAAAACTGCAGATGCTTAGAGCAAATGCCTACCTCCATCCACAGGCTAGAAGCTTATCTAAACTGGCATCTGTTGCGTATTCCAGCAATTACAAACATACTTGAAACTTGACATTATTGAACTCCGAAGTAATGCTTATTTTTATCTAGTAATGGAAATGGTAAATGATAGCGTGGACCTCATTAAGATCTAAGTTTCTTAGAATAGTGTACCTAAGAACTTCATACATAAGTAACAAGATAATTTTTTAGTACCCATGTATAGCAAAGACCTAAAGAGTAGAATCCTGTCTCCAATGAGATCAGTGAGAATTTTAGTAGTTGCTGCAGGGGTGCCTGGATTCTACCCGGGATCTCTGAGAGTGTGCTTTTTGTATTGGCAAATGCTTATGTAATGTGATTCTGTGGAGAAATTTAATTAAAGAGAAATGTGTAAAGCACTTGGCATTAAGTGGTCTAAGTTTGTTAACATACAGTATTTGGAATGAAGCCCAAATCAGAAGCAAACGATGCTAACTGAACTGTGAGCATTTTGATAAAAATTACTTTATGGAGAAGCTTGTATAGACTCTCGGCATTTTTGTTTTTAACAAGTATTTTCTATATGCTTTCATTTCTATGATCCAAACAAATTCACAGGCTTTATTTGAAACGTTGCAAGCTGAAGCAAACCCCATTGACTTGACTTTATCTTTGCTCTCAATTACACCAGGGTCAGCAATTCTTTACTGTAACTTAATACTGAATAAGTATTTTTGCTAACTGCCGAAATCGAGTGGGAGGAGGAGTCCAGCAACAGAAGAACTCTTTTACTTGCGCTTGTGTTTACAGTACCAGTTCATATCCTTAGCGGTTTTTATTTTTAGGAAACAGAAATGTGTAATACCCATGCAGCTAAGATTATCTTGGTTGGAGATTCTTGTTGTTACCAAAAATTTATGTGACTCCTCTAACAGAGATGGAGCATCTCTGGCTTCTCAAACAGGCAAGCAGACTTTGTGAGGCTGATAGTTTTGAGGAATATGTTTTGGACTACGCTGACTTAAAAACATGTACAATTAACATAACTTTCTGGTTATGGCATTCCAAGTTACCAGATCAGGATGATACATGAAAAAAGCAGGCAGATAAGGCATCGTTTGCCCAGACATGTCATCAGAAACTGACTTCCTAAAGGTATGTCTCAAGCTGGAGAATGAAAACACCGATGTGTGATATTTTTCCATTTCAGAGCAATCATTGTAATAATCACTGTGATGCAGACTACCTTCACGACTTCTTAATCCTGGTACTGACAGAGGGAAAGTAATCTAAATTCCTAGAAGCATCAAGTTGGAGAACTCTCAGTTTAGCGCAAAAATTCTTGACAATATATTTGGTGGAGAACTGGGCCCAGCTGACAGTATTGGGGAAAAGATTTTCTTTGGCGTGGGACACCACGCTGTGACAGCCTCTGTTCTTAGGGAAGAATCTCTAATCTAAAACGTATCAGACTATTTCTCTCTCTTGTAATCTCCTCCGAAATGAAAATAGAATTATTCAGCTTTTTTCACGATGCATAGAAAAGTTTGAAGTTAAAAATAAATCTCAGATCCTTCTCAGAAGAGGGACAATGGCTGTCTTTTTATCTTTAAGAAAAAAGCACTCTGGTCCCATTGCCCTCTGCAAAACAGTAGGTCATCACAGAAAGGTTTTTTTGGTATTTGAGGCTCAGTTTCCCCAGCGATAAGCACTTAGGGCAATGAGAACTGCAGCAGTTTCAGAGAAGCGGGACATCTTTGCTGCTTGCAGTACCACCACAACACGTCTGACTCCAGCACCAGAGAACTGGCATATAAATGGAATGAAAAATTCACTGAAGTGCTTTGATGTTGCGTATATGCAGAATTTGAAAGGAATAGGAGAGTTTATTTTTAAAAGGAAATTAATAAAAGACATTATAAGGCTATGCAAAATAATGGGTGGTATAAAGGAAGGTCCGGAAATTCTTGTTGTTTTTCTCGCCGTACAAGGAACATGGGCATTCACAGAGGGAGATACATTCTGCAAAAAAAAAAACAAACCAAAGAACCCATTCCCTGTTTGATTGCACAATGTGCCCTTGCTGCCAAGTCTGTCCCCTGACCAGCCCGGCCGAGCGGGGATCCTTGGACAGCCTGCCCCGAACCAACCCTGCTCGCTGCTGTCTCTCATCGGAGTTACCACAAGTAGCATCCGTAAGGTGTTGCAGCGCTGAAAATTTGTGACTGGAAGCGAAGGGTTTTGCAGAAGAAAAAAAAAATGGTGCAGAGGGGTCCTTGTCCTCAGAAAGCTGGCTGAACGACACCTTTTTCCTTGGAAGAAGTCATATTTACTTGGGGAATTTACATGTATCGATGACTGTGGCAGAATATTTCTGAGGAAGCCCCTTGTTAATATTTTGGCAGCATGAGAGTGTTTTTTCCCAATTGCAAATGTCGTTCCATCTGCCACAAAGCCATTGGTTCCAACAGTCTGTCCTTCCCCGTTAAAGGGGCATCGCAGAAACATTATGTTTGCTGTTGGGATATCAGGAGAGGAAAGCAATTTGAATGTGTTGCCCGCTGCAGTAGTGTGCCCTGTTGGTGAAGAGTTTGCCATGAGAAAACAAGCCAGCTGAGGACGTATATCTTCCTTCCTATTTCCTCATGAGTGAACTTTTAATTTAGTTGTATTTAACATCATTTAGGTAAGATTTTGATAATGCCACCGGCTTGAGTCCGAGTTACATCATAGAAATACTGGTTGGAAGGGACCCCTAGATCAACTCCCACCTTCCACTCAAAGCAGGACTGTCACCAACACTGGATCAGGTCTGCTGCAGTTTTACCTAGCCATACCTTGGGTGTCCCCCTCTGAGTAACCTCTTCCAGTACTGCAGTATCCTCCCAGTGAAGCGGTTCTTCCTAACGTCCAGTCTGAACCTCCCAGGCTACAGTGTGTGGCCATTGCCCTTTTCTATACTACCTGTCGCTACCATAAAGAGCTTGGCCCCGTCTTCTTTCCAACTCCAGTTCAAGCAGTTGCAGCCTGCTATTAGATCACCCCTCAGCCTCCTCCGTCACCTGAAGCGTGTGCTCTGTCCCTGACCATCCCAGTGGCCCTCTGCTACCTTCCCTTCCAGTTTCTGAACGTCCTCTTGACCTGGGGGGGGGCCCAAAGCCGGACACAGTATTCCAGGTGTGATGTTACTGGCTTTGAGGAGACGAGGATAATGAGTTTCCTCACTCTGCGGGCCACCCTTCTTCGAAAGTAGGCCAATGTGCAGTTTGCCCCATTTGCAGTGAGCACACCATTGGCTCACATTTGACCTGACGTCCACTGTAACCTCTCCAGGAGGGCTGCTGCTCAGCCAGACGGTTCCCAGCCTGTCCTGGCACATGGCGTTATTCTGCCCAAGATGTGGGACTTTGTACATCTTGTTAAACTTGATGGAATTTCTGCTTGCCAGATCCCAAGTTCCTGAAGATCCCTCCACAGAAGTTAGTGTTTGGCATGTCAATGGCTCAATGCTAATTTAGTGTCATCTTCACATTTGTTGTGTCTGCATTCTGTATCATCATCCCGGTCGTCAGTGAAGATGCTAAACAGTATCAACCCTGGTGTTGACCCTGGACTACTCTGCTTCCCTCCAGCCACCAAACAGATGTTGAGCCGTTGATGGCTGTCTTTCTGGAGCTTACTCTCGCTGAGTAAGCTTTCTGACTGACACACGAACTGAAGGAAGAGCTGGTTTTCTGTTTGCTACCTTAACCAGTAACCTATTCTTAAAGTGTTTTAGCAGATGGTAGTGGGCTACGTAGTGTGCAATAGTAGCAAAGGCAAAACATTGTCTAAATTTAGTAGAATTCTGTAAATAGGCTTCTAAAAATCACAGTAAACAAGAAGTGGTTCTTACCATGCAGACTTTCTACATTTTTCAATACCTAGTCTAGCATTTTGGAGGATACAAAAGCTCTTTTGCAATTAAAAAAAAAAATTAACATTTGTCTTTTGTTCTGTGTTGGAATCAAACCGACCTCTCACCATTCCTGGGAGGCAGGAGGGACTCTCCTCCGTGCCAGGACAGCCAAGGGCCCTCTGTGGCACACCCGTCACTCGTGTCCCATCCCTGCTTCAGCTCAGGCCCCGATCTCCTAAACCTCAGGTGCATCTCCCAACCGCTGCGTTATTGGCATACCTGGGACAGGTGGATGGCACTACCTCTCTGCAGTCCCCAACGTTGTCAAAGTTTAACATCGTAACAGATCTGTCTCCGCAAAACACTCTGTTTTTAGCCAAACATCACATTTTCACAGAGATATCTTCCTGATTTGTTTTTTGAAATCTGAATTACAACAAGGAAAAAAAGTGTGTGATTCCTTAAACCCAAAAGAGACACCCAACAGAAAAGACCAAACTCAATTCTAAAATGACTATTTCAGTGATGACTTGTAATCTGTGCAGTTTCATCTACTTGATAATACCCAGCTTAGTGTTAGATCTAAAAAAAGAATGAAATGAGAAAATCATTCCTTTGATATGCATTAAATTATTCAGTTAGTAAATTAGTGAATCTTACTCCGAGTGTTATTAGCTGTTAGCATGTTACACTTCTTGATGTTGCTCATGAAGAATGCATATGAAAATGAGGAAAAGATTTCCCTTTTGAAGTTGCTGCCACTTGAGTTGTTGACATTTCTTTTAATTGGTGGCTGTCCTCTTGAACGCAGTATTCTGCTGTCTGTTTTTATGAGAGATCCTTCATTTTTAATTTGTTCTCTCATTGATTAGACTTTTTGAATGGGTAACTCTCAAAATAATTAGCCTTTCAAGGGAACCATGTTTTCCTAAACAGTTATTAATGAGTATCTCCCCCATTCAGTATACTTAGGCCTTTTTCATTGGGAGAATTTCAAGCTTACACCTGGCCTGGTCGAACCGTGCCTGGTACCACTGAAGAGAGCAGGAATCTCGCTGCAGGTTTCAGGAAGAACTAGACCAGACCCTAAGAGTGAAGAAAGATAATTTGCATTCACTTTGTCTTAGGAAGATGTCTATTTTCTAGGAGAACCTACAAACGTTTCTTCAGGCCCCAAGGTAGGACTGCGGAGGGAGCGAAAATGAGTGAAGGAAAACAAGGTAATGCCATCTGATCAAGGATACCATCTTCAAAGACGCTATCGGCTTCAGCAGCCGGGCTAATGAGCCTCAATTATACTGCTAGTTTTACAGTACTGGAAACGTACAGCTCCCTTTTATTTAAAGTCAGTGTAAGTTACATAAAAATAAACCCATTAAAACCAACAATCATTCTGCATATGAAATTATTTTCCCACTAAAGAGCCAAGGATCTTCAAAAAGAGCATACTTCATTTTAGAAATTATTGCCTGTATTACACTCGCAATTAAAAAGCACAGTGGATAATAAAATACTCCAACACGTCATGCATTGCTGCAATGATCTAATCCCATTCTGGTTCCTGTTTGGCTTCTCTAAGCCAGTGCTTGTCCCTTCCCTTAGTCTTGTTTTTAACCTTAATCTGCC